ACCAGTGGTGGTGCTGGTGGTTCTGATGGTGGTGGCACAGCCACCATCGCAACCACGAGATCAACCGCCAGCACAACCGCCCGCACAACCACCAGCACGCCAGCACGACCACCCGCACAACCACCAGCAGAATCACCAACACTACCGCCAGCACTGACAAGGGCACCACCACCACCGCGACCACCCGCACAACCGCCAGCACAACCACCAACGCAACCACCAACGCAACCACCCGCAGAACAACCAGCACAACCACCAGCACAACCACCAGCAAAACCACCAACACAACCACCGGCGCAACCACCAGCGCAAGCACCAGCACGGTCACCCGCACGGCCACCACCAGCACAAACACCAGCACAAACACCCTTGCAACAACCAGCACAACCACCATCGCAACTACCAGCACAGCCACCCGCACAACCACCAGCGCAACCACCAGCACAACCACAAGCACAACCAACAACACGACGATGTCATACACATCGTCAGGTTTAAAACTAGGTTTTTGAATAGGACTCACGCGACGGTCCCATGGCATGGAACGAAACAAAGAATGTTAAAAACATGAGTTTAACGTAGGTCCGCGAGGCTGAGGCCGGGCATACCGTCCTAGCTGTTTTTGAACTCCCTGTACAGTGGGGGCCCGACCACAAGGACGTTCCACAAGAAACCCAACCCTGAGACCCCAGGAAATCCATTGATTTTTGGTGTGGGAACTTCGCGCGTTCCATGGCAAAACCATCCAAACCAAAGAAACCCAGGGCACCCTGGAGGGAAGCAGGGTGTCTCTCGGCAAGGGCCTCCTCTGTACGGTCCGACCTGGACCAGAAGAGCATCCTTCAAGAACATGAGACCCTCCGTCGGCCAAAACGCACAGAACACGCAAGGGTGCCCTCCCCAGGATGCAGAAGAGCAACCAACAAGCCCGAAAAATATCAGGGTGCCCTCCCCGAGCCGACCTCGATCTTATACCTCTGTCCGACTGTAGCGACCTTGCGCAATGGCTTCCGCGGGCCGCCAGCGCGGCACGCCACACTGGAGACGAGAGCGCCTCCGCGGGATCTTGCGCGGGGAACGCACGCGCGAATGTCGGTGAAACCGACCCCTTTTTTGCGTCGCCCAGACGGAAGCATTCGGCGAATCGTTTAAAAAGATAAGGGAACTCAGAGCCAAAGAATCGCAGCGGTGACAGGCATGCTGAGGACACGGTGCAAAGAGCAGGCAATCGGGCGAATACTAGACGAGCGTAGAGAAGATCAATCACGGAGGCGCGCAGGATACGACCTCTTACAATCCACCTGAAGGAGGGAGCTGTGTGTTCATAAATTGCGACCGCGAATTCTAAGGAGGCCCCCAAAGGACCAACAACAAAGCAAGAGAGCCCCAAGATAGCAAAATAAGTCTCCATGAAACTCCCAGAGGTTTCAGAGTGGCCATTCTTCGAGGCTGCCTGGGCTGATTCCAGCTTCGGGCTCATCATGTAGTATGAACTCTAAACATGAACAGGCCTTGATCGTTACCTCGAATTTCGGTTCTGGATGGGCGGGTCGGGACACTTTTTTTTGGTCGCGGGCGGACGCGGATTCGCAGTCGCCGAACTGAGAGGTCCGGGCCACGGGCCTGTCAAATTAGCAACGCGCAAGCCTAAGAGCACAGCGGCCGAGCCTGGAATCAGAACTAACCGCCGGTGGGGCCGCGGGCTGAAGGGGAGCTGGCTGAGCTGACTGCAAACGGCTTATGGGTCGGGACACTTTTTGGTTGGCGGCTCCAGGACAAGTGTCAAGAAGCGGGATAAACGACTGGGGCACAGGCCGACGGGTCGGGACACGCGAAGCGTCAAGAATTTCAAATACATCTGAGCGTAGGAGACCCCCCCTAACCCGACCTGTCATGCTTCCGACGTGCCATGGGAAGGTCGCCATCGGTCTCTTGCAGCCAGAGAATCCAGAAGCTGCACTTGGAGAGGACAGAATGCGCTGAACTATCGGACGTATGAGCCAGCGAGGTGGACCGAGATAGACCGAATTGTAGTAGTCTGGACTGGACTACAGGGGTGGACTCCAATCCACTCTACTCTGACTCTTCTGCTCTACTCGACTCTACCCTAGTCTACCCTGCCCTAACCTAGCCTACTCTGCAATACCACCACGATTCTCTACTCTCTACGGGCGGGGCCCTCTGACTCGCTCGATCTGGCTGGCCTGACTCCTGGTCGACTCTACTCTACTCGAATACACTCTCCCTGTCTTCTGGTTACTCTTACATAATATGCTCCACTCGATTCGATGCTATGATACCCGACTATACTCTACCATATGCACTTCTCTACTCTGCCTCTGCTATAGTATACCATACGTTACTGTTCCCTGCCCTGCCATACCCTAACCTACTCTGTTCTACTCTACTCTCATCGACTCATACTCTAGTCCAAACATACTCTACTCTAATCCTACTCTGCTCTACTCCATGCTACCGGAGAAAAAACAAGTATAATAAGTTTAGGGCTATAGGGCCATGGGGCTATAGGGCTAGAAGGCTATGGGGCTATAGGGCTGTAAGGCTATGACGCGCTACAGGGCTATAGGGCTATAGGGTCATAGGGCTTTAGGGCTATAAGGCAATAGGGCTATAGGGCGATAGGGCTACAGGGCTATAGGGCCATAGGGCTATAAGGCTATAAGGCTATAGGGCTATAGGGCTATAGGGCTATAGGACTATAGGGCTATAGGGCTACAGGGCCATTAGGGCTATATGGCTATAGGGCTATAGGGCTATATATATAGGTCTATAGTGCTATAGGGCTATAAGGCACCGGGGCACCAGGGCACCCGGGCACCCGGGCATCCAGGCACCCCCGGACACCCGGGCACCTGGCACCTGGGCTGGCCACCGAAAACGGCGACGAACCTCACCTAACCATATGAATCCGCCATGACCACTACAGAGGCAAGCTCTGATTGGGGAACCGTAGTCTACTCGATTATACTCTTCTCTGCTCTAATAGTTTCTACTCGATTATATTTCGGACTTTCACGAGTGTTGGACGCTTGTTGGGACGCAATTGGAGAAATCACAGTGAGCCATTGGAATAGCAGAGGAAGCCATGCGGATACAGAGGAAACCATGAGAAGGAAGCCATGCGTATACAGAGGACGCCATACGGATAGCAGAGGAAGTCATGCGGATACAGAGGAAGCCATGCGGGTAGGTTTGACGAATATGGGGGCGCCACTGGAAGGCCACAGGAAGCCAGTAGAACAGCAGAGCAAGCCATGCGCATAGCAGAGGAGGCCATGCGGATACAGAGGAAGCCATGCGAATACAGAGGAGACCATGCGGATGGCTCGACGATCCTGCAAGGGCAAAAAGAACGGGGTGTCAGTGAACCAGCTCTCGATGCATGGAGCTAGGGCTTCTATAGGCAAGCCTGGCTGGAGAAAGCACAACAACCACAACAACAACAACAACAACAACCCAAAGACATACGCGACTCCTATCAGTGTCAGACCTTATTCACAAATTCAGCGATAACATAGCGATAATGCGATAGTATATGTGCGACCGAAACTCGACGATAGTGAACGTACCGACAAGACGACATTTCGGGTAATGGAGAGGTTGGGGGGGATGCGTGTAGATTTCAGTTTGCGATTGACGTCGGATCGGCTCGCAAACGATCTGACGATACCGATGACAACCCATCCACCTCACTATATTTCCCTCCAATCCACTACCAAAACATATGTCGACCTGCCTGTCGAGATAGCGACCCGTTTTTTCGTATCACTACTTATGGGCCTCACTCTCTATCCATCGATATCGGTATGAATATGTGCGTTGACCGTGGAATGGATCGAACTACCAATGTGATGATTTCGCTAATACCTCCAAGTGTTTACCTCCTCCTGATCCCCTTCCTCCACCTTATCCGACGCAAACAGACCGTATCCGATCCCAATCAGTCGAAGTGATGTATAGACAACAACAACAACAACAACAACAACAACAACAACAACTAAACAGCTACAAAGCAACCACAGGACAACCACAAACCAACCACAGACCAACCACGGAAAAAAACACGGGACATTCACAGAACAACCGCGGGACAACACATAACAACCACGGGGCAACAGAAGGACAAGAACGGCACAGCCACCTAACAACCGGAGAAGAGTCACGAGAATTCGCGAGACAACTGCGCGGAACAACCGCGGGGGCCGCCGCCCCCGCGGGGGGGGGGGGAGTAACAGTCTGATGCAACCTGCCCTAACAAGGCACGGATCTGCATCGCCCTCGCGCAGCTTCCAGAAGCCGATTCACTCCGATCTCATCCTACAATCTCCGATCGCGACGGGCGTCACAGTCAGGTCAGAAACCACGACTACTCGAAGTGGGTGGTCGCGTCCCGGCGCGGAGCAACACGCGTTGAGACCGCATCCTCCTCCTGGCTCCAGCCCCCCCTCCTCCACCTCGTTCTCGTACTCAACGTCATCCTCATCCTCCGATTCCTCCACCTCTTCCTCTTCTTCTTCTTCTTCTTCTTCCTCTTCCTCATCCCCTCCCTCTACATCCTGGTTGGAGGGATTGATCTCCATGAAAGTTACATGTTGCATGTTTGGTTGAAGCACTCGCTTCACTTCTGCAATGCCTGCAGGAAAGCGGCTACCGTTGATTCCAAGCACCTTCCTGGCGAGTGTACTCTTCCCATCTCTAAAACAAGGGACGAAAGAACCTGGCGCAGATCCGACGCGGATTATTTTCAGGCCGTAAGGGCCCAGCTGCTTCCGTATTCGAAACAGCCTCCAACAGGATTGGGCGTGATCATGAAGCCACGTGGATTGTGGCGCAAAGGATGCCCCAGGATGATCATTCCTCTCCAGCTCCTTCCCCTCGTCTCAGGATAGACCCAGAGATCAAGAGGGGCGGCGTGGCTAACGGTCCTGCCAGATGGCCCGGGCGATCTGGATGACGCGGCTGCCGACCCGGAACTCTCCCTCCCCTCAGCTTTGCAGGCAGGTCTGGCATGTGCAGCATCCTCCCACACTTCCTCCTCGTCCTCATCCTCCTCCTCTTCATCATCATCATCATCATCATCATCATCATCATCATCATCATCATCATCAGAATCACCACCATCACCACCACCATCATCATCATCATCATCATCATCATCATCAGCATCATCATCATCATCATCATCATTAGCATCATAATCATCATCATCGTCATCATCGTCATCATCATCATTATCATCATCATCATCATCATCATCATCATCATCATCATCATCATCATCATCATCATCATCATCATCATCATCATCATCATCATCATCATCATCATCGTCAGCATCATCATCAGCATCATCAGCATCATCAGCATCATCATCATCGTCATCATCTTCCTCATCCTCTTCCTCCTTCTCCTCTTTCTCCTCCGCCTTCTCCTCCTCCTCCTCCCTCCTCCTCTTTCTCCTCCTCCTCTTCCTCCTCATCATCATCAGCATCAGCAGCAGCACCAGCATCATCATCAACACATTACCATGTCTGATGAGTACCAGTAGTGCCAGTGTTAGTCGCACCGCTCTTGAAAGTATCATTGGTGCGTTCCCGCATCATCTGTACTGTATGAATATGACCTGGAACCGCTTTATTCTCCAAATAGGCTTGCCCTATAGGAGTCCTAGCTCATCATACGTAATTGGTCTTGAGGACCCCCCGCCCATTTTTCCAATGGCACCCCCCCTTACTTCCAATGGCACCCCCCTTCCTCCCAGCCCCCCCCCCTTGTGCCAATGGCACCCCCCCATATTTCCATTGGCACCCCCCAGCTATTTCCAATGGCGAGTCCTATGGATTCCTATGGATTCCTATGAGTCGCCTCCCCTTGCTTGCTCTTACGTGCTCCTGCTCGCTTGCTCTTGCGTGATTGCTATCGTTTACTTGCTCTTGCTTGCCCTTGCTTGCTTGCATTTGATCGCTGGCTCTTGCTTGCTTGTTATTGCTCGCTTGCGCTTGCTTGCTTCCGCTTGCTTGCTTGCGCTTGCTTGATTTTGCTCCTCCCGTCCTGCTCCCGTCCTCCTTTCGTCCTCCTCCCATCCTCCTCTCGTCCTCCTCCTGTCCTCCTAGATATATGGAGCCAACGCCGGCTGATATCACTCGTATTGTCATGTCCGCCAACGTGCCCTGAGGCACTAGTTGGGGTGCCCCCTGGTCCTTCGCCTAATCGCGAACTGTCTTCAATCCAAATATTCCGGGGCTCCCCCTGGCCCCAAATTGCTAAATTTTCCGGGGTTCCTGGCGTGCCCCCTGGGGCGCGTCGCGTCTTGTCGCGTCCATGGGCCCAAGAAGGCCCCATGACGGGCCAAGAGCGCCCAAAACCCAAGACTGTCCAAGAGGGCCCCGAATCGCCGCACGATCGGTCCAAGACGCCCAAAATGGCCCCAAGACAACCCAGGGAGCCTTCGAGGCGCCCAAGGAGAGCCCCAAGAGCCTTCGCAAGAGGGCCTTGAGAGGCCAACATCATCAATTTCCGTTGGTTGTCCCACGTTTTCTAGGCCCTCGACTTGTCGAGCTCCCGACGTTCCAAGACGGCCCAGGAGGCCCCGAAGACCGCCCCAAGACTGCCCAAGAGGCCCCCACATCCCACCGAGCATCCTAGAGGCCTACGGCCTACAACCCAGGCACAGTAGCGGGATGGGCCGAAGGCCATGGGACCTGCTTGGCACGGGAAATGAAAACGCGTGTGTTTTGTAAGGGCGCGAGGTCGCTGGCTCAGTGTCTTGGAGCACTGCTGCTGTTAAGGCGTTGGCACGACATACGAAATCTAGCAAAAAGCCTGGCGAAAATCTAGCAGCGAGCAACAGCAGCAGCAGCAGCAGCAGTCACTTCCTCATTACCTACAGGACAGGATCTACAGACATAGAGTTTGACGAAAAACATTGCGCTTTCCCGAAATTCTCAAATGAAGCGTGCAGACCTGCGATGAGCGATATGCGAATTCAGCTCTGACACCACCACCCGCCCCGAATCATGGCTCTCGCGTTCACCCTGGTCTCTCGCCGGGAGCAACACGGACAGACTATGCGCTGCTATTGGTGGATCACTACTGTGTTGCGCGCGCGCGTTATTCCCCCCGCGCGCGTGCCAGCGGCGCGCGCAAGGCTCGTCTCGCGCCGCTGGCACGCGCGCGGGGGGACGACGCGCGCGCGCCGCGCGCTCGGCCCGTAGCGGAGGCGCGCGCGATGGCATCGGCTCGCGCGCATCTCCAGCTCGCGCCAATCTCGCCGCGCGTCATGCGCGCGCGTCGTCAGCTGTCTTGGGAGCCTCTTGGTCCGTCTTGGGAGCCTCTTGGGGCTGGCTTGGGCCGTCTGGGGCCGAGCACGGCCGACTACCGGAGCCAGACCTCGGCCGGCACGGGAACGGAACGAGCGCTTCAGGGTCCTGCCGCGTATGGCGCATGGCACCCTTCGCTCTTGGAAGCCTTGGTGTTGAGAGCGTTACCGCCCGCTGGAGAGCCTTGGCGGTGAGAGGTTGGGAGTCCTGGTGTTCAGAGACTTGGACGTTGCCGCTCGCTCTTGGAAGCCCTGCTGTGAAAAGCTTTTTGCGTCACCGTCCTCTGGAGAGCCTTGGAGTTACGAGCTTGTTATGTCACCGCTCGCTGTCGGGAGCCATGATTTTACTTGGCGTCTCTGGGACTTCTTGGGGGTCTTTCGGGGGCCCTTTTGGGCCCCGCTGGGACCCTCTTGGACTGTCTTGGGACCCTTTTGGGCCGTCTTGGGGTGTCTTGGAGGCCCTTTGGGGCTCTCCTGGGGGCCTCTTGGGGCCCTCTTGGGAGCCTCTTTGGGCTCTCTTGGGGCTCTCCTGGGGCCGTCTTGGGGCCCTCGTGGCCGTTCGGGGGCCCCCTCGGGCTGTCGTGGGGCCCCCTTGTTCTCGAGCCCGTTGGGGGGCCTCGTGGGCCGTCTTGGGACGATCTTTGGAGCCTCTTGGGCCGCTTTGAGCCGTTCTTGGCCCGAACAGGTGAGAACCCGAAACACCTTCGAAAGCCATCGAACAATCAATGACTTGTGCCTCTTGTGGCCCTCTTGGGTGGCATCTCCTTAGGCCTTTTGGGACGCTTCGGGGCCCTCTTGGACCTTCTTGAGGCCATCTCAAGCCATCTTGGAACAGTCTTGGACGGTCGTAGGGTCTCTTGGGACGCTCTTGGGCCGCCTTGGACCATTGGACCAGTCTTGGACCTCTCGTGGGCCATCTTCAGGGCATCTCAAGCCGTCCTGGACGCCTCCTGGGCCGTCCTGGGAGCCTCTTGGGGGGAGGGGGGCGAGGGCGATTAGACCTGTGCCTCCGCTCCTCCCCCCTCCACAGGACCCCTCCCCACAGGGGGGCCATGCTAAGAAACACCCTGCTTGCCTCCAGGGTGCCCTGGGTTTCTCGGGTTTCGATGGTGTTGCGATGGAGAGCGCGACGTTCCCACACCAAAAAAACTGGACGTCCTGGGGTCGCAGGGTTGGGTTTCTTGTGGAAGGTTTCTTGTGGAGTGGCCTCCACTGTAAAGGGCTTCGTCCCAACTCAGCGTCATCACTCGTAACTCGCTCTTTCTGTCACCTGCTCGGCACGGGGACCCAAATCGCGTGTACGTTGTGAGGGCGCGAGGTCGCTGACTTAGTGTCTTGGAGCCCCACTGGACCAAGGCTTTGGTACGTCAATAAGCACTGCTTATGGGGAGGGAGGTCCCCCTCCTGGCACGGGGATCCTGCCTCGACCACTCCAAAAGCATAACGGGCTCTCACTCCCATGGCCACGGCGCTTCGTCAAACGATACGGACTCACTCTCCCAAGGCCACATCACTCAGATAATGTAGTTGGCTCTCGCTTCCAGGGCCACCCCCCCCGTAAAATACTACCAGATCCCGCCCCAAAGCACGATCCCTTCTGAAGTAGATGGACTCGTGCTCCCAGATGCACGAGCCCTTGCAAAATACAACGAGTTATCACGGGCTCGTCAAGGCGTGGCCGTACATCGTGGTCCTACCCAGAGACCAAAGAATTCCCCGTCACGGGCAATCACCCGAGACGCACCCAGCCCCTCCTGCACGCGAGGCGACTAGTTACGTAAACCCTTTTTATGCATGCGAACCGATGGGCCACTGGGCAGGGCTGAGCTGAACCGACTTGCAAAATTCGGATCGGATCGCAAAATCGGATCGGATCGGAAACGGGTCCGAATCGAATCGAGATCGGATCGCTGCGCCTGGCGCTGGCGTGCCCTGGGTCGGCAAATCGAGCTACATCGAATCGAATGGAATCGGAATCGCGGCCGTGGCTGGCGAATCGAATCGCATCGAATCGGATCGTAGGCGGCCCTGCTGGGCGACTCTCAAGAGCCCACGCAAGTACCGACAGTTTCGCCGCTCGCAAGTCCCAGGAACGGCGAGGCCTCGATCTGGTGCGAGTGTGACGTCACTCCGCCGGACCTCCCGGGAGCCTACGAAAGTGCTGACGCTTTCGCAGTTCACAGACCAAGGACGGCGAGGTCTCATTCCAGCGTGCGTACGACGTCACCCCGATGAACCCCCCAGCAGCCCTCGGAAGTGGCGACTATTTCGCAGCTCGCACACCACAAGAACGGCAAGCTCTCGTTCTCGATGCTGGACCCTCCAGCAGCCCTCGAAACTGGCGACAATTTCAATCTTCGCACCCCAGTTACGGAGAAGGTCTCATTCAGATGTGCGCATGACGTCTCAATGCTGGACGCCCAGCAGCCCACGAAAGAAGCGGCAGGCTCGCAGTCCGCAGCCCCCAAGGGACGACGAGGTCCCATTCTGGTGTGCGCAGGACGCCACTCTGCTGGACCCCCATTAGCCCTCGAGAGAAGCACTGCTTCGCACTTCGCAGCCTCCGATGGACGGCGAAGTCTCATTCTGATGCGCTTGGGACGTCACTCTGCTGGACCCCCCAAGCAGACCCCGAAAGTGGCGACAGCTTCACACTTCGCA